ATATATACCAAATTACGCATAATTTATCTGAGAATAAGATCCTGAAGTCAGAACCAAGATAGAATTTGCGGTTTTGAAGTAATCTAGCAAAAACCTGTCCTAGTTATGCCTGTCTATAGCTGTATATTTCGCATACACACAAAATCCCGAAAATTATAATATTTATAAAAATAATTAATTTTACTTTATGTAATGTAAAATTCATTGATATTATTAGAATAATTATTTAAAAGCTAGTTATTGTTATATTAGTAAATAAATATCTCATCAACTATTCAATATTGTAATTATTGGCTGACTTATACTAGTGCATAACCAGTGTATAATAACTATTCAAGTAAAACTAAATACAATATGCCCCGCTAATAGGCGCCGTGTTGGTGAAAGCATAATTTGTCGCCTATATCCGGTGATCGCCAATAGGCGAGTATACTAAAATAATAACGTTGTTTGTGCATGTCACTTGATGACGCAGTTTTGACTGTCTCAGAGCCCGGGATTTATGAATCAAAGACTAGATTAATGATAATTTGCTACAAGACATAATTTAATTCAATTAACTAATATCCAAAATAAATTTAATTGGCAAAATCTACTCAAAACATTAAATTTATTCATACTTTAACTCTGAAGAAAATCTACGATTACTCTTTAATAGTATTATAACAAATTAGTACTAAATTTTGATTAATAAACAATTATTATTATGTACTACTATAATAACCTACCACTTAATCAACAATTATCATTAATTGAAAAATTAATTTGTAATTTGTAATAGATTTTCATTGATTGATGTTCAGAGCTAATTTAATTGATTGAAAACTTGGAAATTTTTGACATTATTACAGTTAAATATTGCATATTATTTTAATTTATTGTTATTGTTTGTGTTTTACTAAAAAATACTCCTAAAATCCTAAAATAAGAGACAATACTATGAAACACATGAATGGTTATTCACTGAATAGACGTACAGTATATTTGTTAACATTAAAATTATATAGCAATACTATACTGTACGTTACATACTGAGACTTATAGTATGTGTGAACTATGCATTACTTAAGTCTTACAGTTTTGATGCTATAAAACATAAATCTATTCTAGTAATAAGCGATCATATATGAATCCCATATATCATTTCATTGGTTCACTTGTGAATTACGTGTGATTCTCTTATATCCGATGCACTATTTATTCTATGGGTGCACACGACTACAGGCTCTTATATCCGAATTTCTCCTATTTCCGAATCGCTTACATCCGAGTTCTTAAGCATTGCGAGCCCTTAGGAACGGCCGGTGAAGAGCATATATGGCGCCTATTCCAGGGGATCACCTATATTAGAGTCGCCTAAAAGCGGGGCATATTGTAATATCAAAGAATATTACACTACAAAAAAAGTAAATTAATTATTTTTATAGATATTATAATTTTCGGGATTATGTATTTCGGGATTTTGATGTACTCCCAATATATATAGCTATTCAGTTTATTTACTCTAATTTATTATAAAATATTTCATTAAATTATTAATTATGATAGTAGAATATAACAGTAATTTCATATGAATTCCTCATACCTGTGCCGATATTTTGTTGCGAAATAGTCACCCGCTCTCTCCATAAGCGTATTCGTGTAGCTATTATTAGGGTAATAGACTATATCCAGGTAATCCATGTTATTAATGTGACTTCTATAACCACACGATCCGGAATATATAGGTTTGGATTCATTGATGATTTTGTGGCGATTAAAATAAATAGCTTTTGTCGATGAGTTGAGTATTTGCTTTCCACCGCCGGTACTCCAATACCTGTCCGTTTTACCGCCACTTAACAGGAGGGGTAATATAGCAAAACATATGGGAATTACGAATAGCAATAGGAATGACATCTTATGGTGGGAACGGATTAACCAATTCTTGTGCAGTAATAGTCGTATGACTTTCACGTGCAATGATAACTTCATTTTGAGAAATATGTTTCACTATTTGAGTTATAATTAAAAACACATTTAAAACTTTATTTATACGACCACTAGTAATATTGAATTTAAAAAATTATTTTTAATTTAAAATAATTTAAAGCCACTTATTAGTACAGTACTAGGTGATTATTTTTAAAATGAACTACTACTGTATACATAATATAATGTTATAACGAGTGTTTGCAACGATTTAGAGTAACACAGTATTTATAACATAATATTTACCATTTGATGTCAGACACTATCTTGATACTTTCATGAATGGATGAATAATGTTTGCTTTCATGTAATAATATAATTTACTCGGAAATGTTATTAAAGTAGTAATCAATTGAAAAACACGTCCTTCAATGGGACTGGAAGGCCAGTCCTGTTAAACACTCAAATTGAAGGCTTATTATAGTATTAATACTGTAATTGAATGTTTGATTGTGTCATCCAGATAATTTATGATGTTTATATAACACTAAATAGGTTTATTATGTACTAGTATATATTGTACATTTATTTATTTATTTATTAAAAATTATTTATTTTCTAAGAATTTTCAAATAATCACTAAAATTAGTTATATCCATAAAATTATTTGAAAATTTAATTAAAATTTTATCAAACCCGGAATGCTTATACTTTTTATTATAAAACTTTATTTTAATTGACCTAATACATAAATTCAGGTTTATAAACCTAGGTTAATATAGATTTATTGAATTTGAAACAAACTAAATCATGTAAATATAATTATTTTAGGATTTAAACGAAACTTTCATTAATCCAATTATAATTAAAAACACATTTAAAAATTATGTTTACAAAAAATATTGAATTTTACAAATATTACTAGACTAGCTTGGTAATTTTTTTAAAAAATGTACTCATATAAATAATATGAATGTTTAACTGAACTACATGCATACCATTCACATTAATTTATATATACGAGTGTTTGCAACTATTTAGAGTAACACTGTATTTATAATATTTATATAATTTACTCGTAAATGCAATCAAAGTAGTAATCAATTGAAAAACACGTCCTTCAATGGGACTGGAAGGCCAGTCCTGTTTACAGTTTAAACACCAATTTGTAGGCCTATTATATAAATGACAGTTTGATAGTGTCATCCTGATAATTTAGAATTTATCATGTTCACTATTACCGTACTATCACTAACAGTACAGTAAATAGCATTAGGAATTAGGTTATCACATATAATTTATATACAGTATATGTACAATAAATGTGAATATAGTAGCTTGAAAGTTAAATTGTTATAGAAATGCATTGACAATACAATGATTACTGTATACAAATACATTACAACTAACTATAGCCTACACGAATGATTATGTGTTCAATTATTAATTGTGTAAATTATGGATATTTCAAAATAATTAATCATTAAATAATTTGTTTTATGAAAGTTATAATGGATTTTATTCATCCGGAAGACTGGTATCCTGATTGGCAATCATGTGGAGGAATGCCTGTTCGAGACTGGCGTTGGACACGAAGTAGTCCTCGAAATGCAATTCGCGTTTCAATTCATTCAATGACTGAAAGATTTGCGATAACCTACTGTCCACTGACTGCAGGTTATAGTAAATGACACCAAAATTGTCGTATTTCTCGATACAGTTGTCGCCAAACGTCTCATTCATACGTCTCTTCACTTCGTCGACAATCACTTCGTTTGAACCGCTCTTCACTTTGACGATAAGATCAAAACCTTTGGCGTAAAAGGACTTCAAGTGAGCCGTGAATCCGATGGCTTTGAGGACCCCTTTGGAGACAATCGCCAAACGACTGCAAAGGGCCTCACATTCACTCATGTTATGTGAAGTCAACACAATCGACACCTTTTGGCAAACCATGAGATCTCGTAAAAGACACCAAATGCTGAGTCGGGAGTCGGGGTCGACACCAGTGGTCGGCTCGTCGAGCAGTAGGACGAGGGGACGGCCTATGAGTGCGACGGCCAGCGATAGTTTGCGACGATTGCCGCCGCTATAAGTCGTAACCCTTTTGTCGAGAATTGCTTTCAATTCAAANGCCGCTATAAGTCGTAACCCTTTTGTCGAGAATTGCTTTCAATTCAAACAAAACACATATATTTGAGACAAACTTTTCTAAGGCTTTCCGCTCAACACCTCTGATGCGGCCGAAGAAGACCAGTGTTTGACGGCCTGTCAGTCCATCCAAAAGGGCGTCATTTTGTGGACAATAGCCCACTCGTGAGTAGAATAGTCTCCGACTTGTCAGTAGGTCTGTGTGTGAGCCCAGGTATGCGTTACCGGAGTCTAAGTCGAGATCACCGGTCAGTAGTCAAAAGGTTGTCGTCTTTCCGCTGCCATTAGTTCCCAATAATCCGAAACATTCCTCTTTGTTGACCACAAATGAGATCTCATTAGGAATTGTAGGGTTTTTTGTCGACACTTTTGCTCAGTTTGTTGAGAATTAGTGAAACACTTTCAAAGTTTTCACAATTATATAAAGTAATGTTATATAAAATATAACATGTTTAGCATTATAAAAACCCTATCATTTATAGCCCCTAATATTCCTCCCCATTTAAATCTATTACTTGATATTTGAATGCTCACACCCTAATGCTATAGTATTATGAAGTACGTGTGTATGTGCTATACAGTGAAGCAAATTTTTTACCTAATATTTACCGATCTGTAAGGTCTGATATATATGCAGGTTATATAGATTTGGGTTAAGTTTAAATGTGAAAAACTACGCAAAACCTTGTATAACATTAGTATATGTTTTGGGATTCATATACGAGTTGTAGAAACTAATCGCACAATACATTAGCGGCCGGACTGTAATCGACATACGGTTGGGTCGCCGGTTGGGTTACACGACGAGCCCCTATCGGTGTTCACCATATGCTACTTGTCCTACAAGTCAATTGAGAGGGTCGCCTACTTTCAACCAGAATTTCGATATATATTCACTGATTATAAGACTTTTATTGATAGCAAGTATAAGATAATTAATGGTATAATATTTTAATTACCAAAACTCAAATGTAAAGGTATTTTACTTACAGTGCTCTACTTCATTACAATTTATCTATAGATATGATAAAATTACCATGACAATCACTGTAAATAAATATTTCTTATTAACAATACCGTATATGTAATTAATAGTGTCTTTGTTTGTAATGTGTTTTATGTTTAATTAAATTTCTAAAACAATTAATTCACTAATTATATGAATATAATAACAATAATTTGTTAATTGTATATAAAATATGAGTGCAAACAAAAGCCCACAACAATCGGGAGTGGAGTCCAGTAATAGCCGATCCATACATACAAGTGATGTGAGGCCTACGGAACACGAGTCCAATGATTCACACAATGAAACACTTGTCGACGAAAATAGACATAAAAGTGAAGAAAATATTATTAAATCGATTCAATTGTTTCATGTTTTCGACGACAGCAGAGGATATAATGTATTGTTTGTTACAAATGATGACATGGTTTACAGTTTGGGATCTAATTTGTGGGGATTTCTTGGTTTGGGACACAATCTCTACATCAATGAAATCCAAGTGATCGACAGATTGTGTCACAAGAATATCACACAATTCTTCATTGGATACAACTTTGTGTTAGCCCTCACTCAACATAATTGTCTCTATGGTTGGGGTAATAATGATGAGGGACAGATTTCACATGTTAGTACAAATTACTTATACGCAGAACCGTATCATTTTGATCCCAAATACATTGATAATAAAGCTTTTTGTCAAATAAGTTGTGGTTATTTTTACACAATGATTCTCACGAGTGATGGCTGTGTCTATGGATGGGGTGATAATAGGTTCGGACAGTTAGGTTGTGGACCAGACAGTGATATACGAAAAGGGGACAAATTCATAGTGAATTTCAATCCTAATCACGAAATTAAAAGCATTTATTGTTGTCATTACTCTTCATTTGCCATCACATCGGAGGGACAGGTGTTTAGTTGGGGTCGAAATGATCGTTATAATTTGGGACACAATTCATCGGATAACATATGGGAACCACAACTCATTGCAGACATGACTGGTATTAAGACTATCTGTTCCAATGGTGGCATAACTTTCTTCTTATCAAACGATGGATTCATTTATTTTTGCGGACAATATAGGAACGAAAACAACGAATATTTGTTACAAATATCACCAAAAATATTAAATACTGATAAGAAATTTACAGAAATTAATATTATTTCCTCAATTAAAGATATCTCGAGTCAGGTTAATGTTGTAATGAATGGCAGAATATATCTGATTACAGACAAACCTAACGATATTATAAATGAAATAAAATTTACAAATTTCTTCGACTGTTTCACAAATATGTTTCAAATGACTCATAAAACCATTAATTTGTGTGATTATAAGGAATATAATTATAAGAATCGGAAAAAATTTACTTTAAAATGTTTGGATTATTTGGAAAAATTATTTTCTTCTATAAACGAGTTATCAAACAATGGTATGAATTGGTTATTGGGATCATTCATAAATTACGTACTTTCAGTCAGTCATTAAAATTCACAATTAACACTCTCGTATAGCAAATTGAAACATAACACTCGAATTTAATCAACATCTTTATTGAGTAATAACTTTTCCTTATTTATTAAGCAAATCCAAATATGCAAGTTAATAAATAGACTGTATTACTCTAAATATCTAAAAATTTCCTAAAAATTAATTTACAAATTAATAAAATTAACATATTACAATTTTATATTTCCGAAAGCTAATTCGAACTAACTTTGAATTTAAAAACATTGCCAAACAATTAAGCAAATTTTAAACACATTTTAATTATAGATATCTTAAAATGAATAATATAATAATATATAATATAATACTAACTTTAGTAGCTGACTTAACACCCTCCTCCATCCCCACCCCTTCTTAAAGTACGTACAATTGAACGACGTTTTAACAAATAATAAATTAATGGATTTATTTAATATGATTTACAGTTGTTTCCGAAGTGAGTCAATACAAGCGTTTGTTCGAAGAGTTGCATTCATTAGGTTCGGGAGCTTTTGGGGAAGTATTTGTTGTTAAATATAGAAACGATGGACAAGAATATGCGGTTAAGAAAATAAGATTTGAAAGTAATTTAATGATATTTAGTATAATTAATACATCATTAAAATACACTCATGAGCAATCAAAACTAGTGTCAGTTTTTTTCTTATAATCTCTTGAACGCCGAATTGGATTTCATATTTGATTTCAGATTCAGAAACTATTTATAGAATAAATGACCATTTTAACCTTGGGTCCTAGAACAGATTTGTTCTAGGAACCACGGTTAAAAAGTTAAACCTATAAATTTAAGAAAATTTAAAACTAAATTTTATGTATTAAACGCATTTTTATTTTATGAAAAATTGTTTTTGAAATTTAATAATCATATATAAATGGCCAGGCTACAGCTATTTTTCATATTTTCAAAGTAAAACCGAAATACTGAAAATGGCACCAAACCCCCAAGTATGAGGATTCCGAAAATATTCTTGTGAATATTCAACATTAAATATCTTTGTGACCCGGTTAGTTAAAAATATAATCTTTTATAAAAATAAATGGCCATTTATTCTAGTTTGTGAATCTGAAGTCAGATCTAAAGTCCAATCCGGCGTTCAAGAGATATAAACCAAAAACCGACACCAGTTTTGATTGCTCATGAGTGTATATTATAGTTTATTTGTAAATCATGTTTTATAAAACTTTGAATTATATATAATTATCATAATTAATTCACATACAGGTGTTGAAACTTTCTGGGATTGTATGCAACAAGGTTAAAATGGTCATTTATTCTATAAATAGTTTCTGAATCTGAAATCAAATATGAAATCCAATTCGGCGTTCAAGAGATTATAAGAAAAAAACCGACACCAGTTTTGATTGCTCATGAGTGTATATTATAGTTTATTTGTAAATCATGTTTTATAAAACTTTGAATTATATATAATTATCATAATTAATTCACATACAGGTGTTGAAACTTTCTGGGATTGTATGCAAGAAATACAAAAATTAATAAAAGTTAGATCAGAATACTGTGTTCAATATATGAGTCAATGGTGTGAAAACAAAATTTATTACATTCATATGGAGTTGTGTTCCCATAGTCTGCAGAATATTCTTCAACACAAACCACAAGTATTTGGTCGACAACCAGAAGAACCAATGAATTCAATCGAGTTTTACATTTCGTGTCATATATTCAAAGAGATCTTAGAATGCGTTCAATATTTACATGAATTGAATCCTCCGATCATTCATAGAGACCTCAAACCCGACAATATATTAGTGGCGATGACTGTAAGGAACGGCAGGTTTTTCAAAATATGTGACTTTGGTTTGGCTACTGTTCACCAGCACTTGTCAGATAAGGGAGATCTGAGATATCAGGCGCCAGAAGTGGGTCAGGGGATTGTCTATAACCATAAGATAGATGTCTTTAGTTTGGCTATAATTGCAGAAAAAGATATTTTTGGGATTCATTTGGAGGACAAACTGTAAGATAATGTGAATTAATATTTAATTTATTTAATAATTGAGTTTTTTTTAATTTATTTGAATATATTCTGTAGTTTAGAAATGTATTCAGACAATGAAGTTATAAACAAATGTATGATTAAATTAACACAAGAACTGCATTCAATGTCATACTATAACTGGAATCACCCCCAAATACCCGGCCCTCACTGGACAGACTGACCCGAGTGTTCACAAGTATTATCGGAATATAACTTATGGTCTATTCATAAGAATTGTCTCAAAACTGATCCCACATTGGGTTCAACACTAAAACTCATTCAACAAAACGATTTCAAGTTTTTTACTGAATATTTTAAATCTAAATACAAAAGAATTTAATAAAAGTTTAATATTTACTTAAAAATAGAAAAACAATTCCGAAAATATAGTCAATTTGATATAGAAAATATGATTAATATTTGCACCTAATAAACATAATGATATATTGTTTTCAGATTTCATATACAATTAGCAATCATACATTTGTGTGTAAGAAGTTTTTTATGTGTTTAAATAAAAATAATAACAAATTTTGACTCAAAAATTGAAAAACAATTCCGAAAATATAGTCAAACTTGAAATCACTTCAAAAACGTTATACAGAATTCAACGGGAATTACAAATAATTTTCAAAATAATTACTTTTTGTTCAATCAATACCTTTCAGTCCGTATTAATTGCAAACAATTCAAATTAAATTATATTTAAATTTAGTGTTAACAAGGTTATTAATAATGATACTATGATAATAAAGTTATTACAGAAGTATTTGATTTTAGACTAATTTATCAAAAAATAGTTTTTCATTTAAAACCGTAAACAAATGAATACTAAATATAACTATTTTATACGACAAAAGGGTTATCCGAGTCCTTCATAATAGAAATTATTATTCAAAATATTAATTGCCTTTCAATTCCCAACCATAAGGTCATTGAAAATCAATGTTTAGTTATTGACTAAAAATAAATAATTTATTGAATGCAGTACTTCATTTCAATAAAAAATTTTAAAACCTCAATTCCACGCATTAAGTTAAATGATTTAACATTGCTAGTATGAGGTATGCATAATTTTTAACATTTTACTAGGTGAGTTTAGATTTGTACGAAATAATTTAATATATCCATGGTTGACATGACACACTACCCACCTTAATAATAAAACCAACTTGGTGTAACTTTACTCAAACACAGCTTATCAGTACTATATTTTGTGGCTATTATATTGGCTCTAATGACACGCTTTGGGACCTGATTTGTGGTGACATTTAGTGCCATAAGTTTGCGTTCAAATAGATGGCAAAACACA